GTTCTATCATACCCATGAAGCTGACAGAAGGAAATAAATAAATACTGTTACACCAAACACTACTTCTGAGATCTGTGAAAATATCAAGAACGGTAAAGTTTTAGCAATTGTTGAGGCCAGTGTAAATCCTATTTCAAAGTAAGTTCTATTGTAATTTGTGTGTGTGTGTGTGTGTGTGTGTGTTCAGGTTAAGCATAAGATCTTGTATTTGTTAAATTTTTCTCTGTTTTAATTTAAAAGTGCTCTTTCAAATGGGGCTAGGAATTAATTGATAAATTTAGTTAGTTCAGAGCTCACTTAGGTTCACTTTTTCACTAACTTTTTAAATTAGCTAATTGAATACAAACTTCATGCTTTATAGTTCACAAATGCTTTTGCAATTTCATGTTTGTCTGAGGATATTGCAGTTTTAATAAAAAAAACCAGCCTGATAGCTTTGGCAGCTGAGCAGTCTGTGGTGTAGAGTATTAACTGAAATAAAAGAGATCCATTCAAAAAGTTGCTGCTGCTGCAATTTAAATACATCTTAGTAGTAATAGTGCACTATTACTACTCACATTTCTCTCATTTACAGAAAAATTATCATAATTAATTGTAAAATTAAAGACATGTAGTTTGTGCAAAATTATATATACACACACAAAACAAACAAAGAATTATGAAAAAAGAAACAAACATACAGGATATAAATTTACAGACATGCATACATCAATAAATGGAAGCCATGGTTGTTACAGTCTTGCACAGCTGAGCTATATTAATAAATTCTGCAAGGTACAGAAAATCCATTTTCTTTGTTTAGATGTTAATTCCCATGTAATATCATTGTAAAACAAAGTCATGTTATTCATTTTCTGATACTTTTTTTGTGTTCTGATTCTATAGGCATACAGGAGTTTCCAGAAAATATCAAGAACTGTAAAGTTTTAGCAATTGTTGAGGCCAGTGTAAATCCTATTTCAAAGTAAGTTCTATTGTAATCTGTGTGTGTGTGTGTGTTCAGGTTAAGCATATGATCTTGTATTTGTTAAATTTTTCTCTGTTTTAATTTATCTAGGCTTCCAGATGGATTTTCACAGTTATTAAACCTAACACAGTTATACCTGAATGATGCTTTTCTGGAATTCTTACCAGCCAATTTTGGCAGGTAAGTTGTAAATGAGTTTAAAAATAACAAGGTCTGTCACTATTGGCTATGAAAGAGGATGGAATGTTAAGATTCTTCTTGTAAATAACTTAAATTGCTAAAATTCTATAAAACAGTACCTTTCAAAATGAATAAAATGAATTAGAGAACAAATGCTCTTAAGTTACACTAAAAGATGGAATTAGCTTAAAGGAATTCTGAACAATGCTTACAAATTTTTTTACTCTATGAAAAATATTCATGCTCTGAAACAGGTACAATATTCTTTACAAATAAAATTGATTGGATCCAACTTGGACTCTGGAATTGGGGTAGCTCATAGGATGTAATCTTGGCAACCATTTGTACTATTATTCTGGATTTGTTTCACTATGTAGATGTGGACAAAGTATATGGAGAGATGACAACCACAGCCTGTTTACCTTACTATTTCTCCTGGATCTCTCAGAGGGTTTTAGTATCAACAGTTATAGAATATTCTTCTGGATTGATTGGGGATTGATCCTTAGTAGCTTTAGCTTAGGGTAGTTCTGATTCTTTCTGTTAGGCCATATCCAGTTGGTTGTGCTGGGGAATTCTTGATCAACACTTAAGCTATTGACCTGTGGTCTCTGAAGGGTTCTATCTTACCCTCCCATGTTGTTGAATACCTGCATGAAACTGCTGGGGGATGTTTCCTGGAGCTTTGGAGCAGGGTGTCATGAGATTATTGATGACACCTATTGCTCCTTACCATCCAGCTCCAGGGAAGAAGTCAATATCTTTGAGTGTTGGCTAAGTTCAATAATGGACTGAATCAGAACAAAAAAATGGAAATTAAATCCAGGATGGAGGTGCTGTTGATAAATAGGAGACCAGACTCAGGAATTGTGATGTAGGGCATCCCCAAGTGACAGGGGAGGTAGACTTAAAGGGAGTTTCTAATCTCAGTGAGCTACAGGCAAAGATCACCTACCACATCATGCTCCTTGGGTGATAGCCTCATGCTTGCATATTAAAGAGATTCCAAACCTTTTAATTAATGTATACTTCCCTTCCTTTTGCTAACATTCACAGTTCAGGCAACTGTGGAAAGAGTTTAATAACTACTTGGAATATTTCCTTGAGTCTAACCCTTCAGCTTCTGTTATATTAGGAAGGGATTTTAGTGCAAGGATAGGACCAGATGCTGTAACTCGCTACTTTCACTATAATACCTGCCCTCCTGATGTGGAAGAAGGCGTCTGTCCTCTCTCCCCATGTGGCCTCGATAGGATCTGCAGTCTTGGGGCTGTAAATGGTGACTGCCCTGCAGAATTTACTTATTGGTTGGCATACCATATGTCAACAGTAGATTATTTGCTGCTGTCCCCTGATTTGGCCACTAGTGTAAATTTTATCAAAGTTGAGCCTCACCAGATGATAATTTCCCCTTACTTTGGGGCATTGACTTCCTCTTTAAATCAGTACAATCCATAGACAGATTTTTTCCACCTGTTGAAATACGGACACAATTTTTACATGTAAAGGGGAATGAAAAATGGGGATACCTTCTCTAACATTTTAACTGCCTCTGGAATGAAAAAAATACATTGATCGTAAGTACTAGGACAGACCCTCACTTATTTGAAAACTATAACTTGCTTATTCAGAACATTCGGAATCAGTTGCCTAGCACATGGAGAAGGTATAATTAAGACAGAAGCAGAGACCAAAAGAATGGTTTGACCGGGAATGGAACTAAAAAGCAGTGTAAATCAATTTTTTAAAAAAAACCAAAAGGGAAGCTGTAATGAAACATTGCTAACAGCTGACCATGCAGACCAAAATAAAAATCCTTCTGGTGTATGGTGGCAGGCCAGATTAATAACAATTATACTATATATCCAGTCAGGTCCCCCTAGGGGTCTGGGAAGCCCACTTTAGAACTTCATATGACTCTCAGCCAGAGAAATTCCTGGTCTTAAATTTAATTTCTTCGTTATAGAGTACAATCCATCTTTAAAATCACACACATACACATCTTTTATCAAGAAGCTGAGAAACTTCCATATATTCAAGTTGTATTTAATTATAAATGAAGTTTATTTTAACATATAAGGAAAGTAATGTTAGGACTAGTGGTAAGTAAAATATCCGCTCTTATTTCAGATTGTAATTTGGGGAAAACCATTTTAGCAGTTGGGAAAGACTGAATTAGGTAGATGAAGTGTACAAATTTACTGTTGGTGACATAAAGGCTCCCTACTCCTGATAAACCGCACTTACTTTACTGTTTCTGAAGACAACTGAGTAAAGGCAGAAAGCATTCTACTCTTATGGCACCCAAGAACATGAGAAGTATTTCCCAACAGATATATGTGTAAATGGAGCCAGCAGAGATGCTAAGAAAGAAACAATGTCACATGCCTCCTTTTGATGTGAAAACTGTTCTCCAAAGTATGTTTTAACTTAGCATTAATATTCACTAGTGTGCTGAATTAATACCATACATAAGCAATGATATATGAAATCTTTGAGTTTGAGTTAATGGTTATCATATCAAGAGAATGCTCTCTCTGATCTATGCTCTGAACATTGGGAAAATGGCAAATAACCCATCTAAACCACTTTTTTTTTAAAAAAGGGCATACACAATATAAAGTAAAATAAGATCCAAGATATGACAGTCTTCCAAACTGGCCGCCTGTCTCTGTAATTGAAGTGAAAAAACATATTAATACTTAAGCTAGGAAAGGCTCCCAGCTATGACCATATTCCACCCGAACTGCTGAAATTTCAAGTTGACTGGTGAGTTCCTGTTTTGGCCTTAATTTTCACATATTGAAGTTCATTGGAGTTGGGGCAGCCAATAAATTTAAATAAATAATAATATTTGACTAGGCTGAAAACGTAATAGCAGATTGGGAGGTGGTCCAATTTTTAAGAAAGGTGACTGGAGTGATCCTACCAGTTACCAACCCCATAAACCTGTTGTGCATTATAAGCAAGCTTTATGTACACCATTTGGATTGTAAACTCAAAGAATGGCTGGTGAACGAAGCCATTTTGGGCCATGAACAGGCAGGGTTTAGACATGGTCACTCAGTAGACCATATCCTTGTACTACGACATCTAATTCAGAAATATACAGACAGTCCTCTGCTTATGAACAAGTTACATTCCAAGAGGCTGTTTGTAAGTCCATTTTGTTCATAAGTCCAACCAAGTATAAAACATTAAACCTCCCAATGCGCAATGGTGCTGGCAAGTGTACTTATGCACACACCATAAACTCTTTCCTGCCTTCTCCCACCTTCTAGGACCTTCTAAGTTGGAGTTGCAGACAGGTTTGTTTGTATCGGCAAAAGTTCATAACTCGAAAGTTCGTAAGTAGAGGACTGTCTGTAGTAAAAGATCTCAAATTTCTCTGTATGTGGCTTTTGCTAACTTCAAGCAATTGACTCAATCTCAAAACTCCTTCTATGGGAAAAACTACAGGCAGTCCTTGAGTTAGGATCATTCATTCAGCGACGGTTTGAAATTACAGTGGTGCTGAATGAAGGGATTTATGACCGGTCCTCGAAGTTCCGGCCCTGCGGCTATGTGAACATAATTTGGGTGACTTTCAGCCAGCTCGCACTTACGACCAGTTGCAGCATCCCATGGTCATGCGATCACCATTTGCGCCCTTCCTTGCCAGCTTCCCCCAAACAAAGTCAATGGGAAGCCAGCAAGGAAGATCAAAGTTGGTGGGGTAAGTTTGCCCCCTGGCCTTTCTTCACTGTCACACACTGCACCTTCCTTTCCCCCCTTTGCTCGCGCACAGCCTGTGTCCGTTTTTTGGCCTCCCTGCAATTGCATACATGCACGCATGTAACATGCACCCTCTTTCCATAGCCTCCCTGTGATTGCATGCACATATCCCCCGCCCTCTTTCCTCAGCCTCCCTGTGATCTCATGCACTCCTTGCCCTCATTCCCTAAGCTTTCTAAAGTAACAGTGCACTGAGCACCTCCTTCCCTGTGTAAGATTTGATCCACAAGGTCTAATTTCAGACCTAATCTCTACACAAGGGAGTCAGGCAGGGATGCATTTCAGCACCCTGTCTGTTCAATTTACACATCAACTTATTAGCAAAAGAACTCTCAAATCAAAATTTCCATCTGCCTAGTATAGCATATATGAATGTTCCATTTCTGCTTTACACAGACAACACAGTCATCATCTCAAAGATCCCAGCTGACCTTAGACATGTACTCAGAAGCCTAGTATGCTACTGCAGTGAAATTACCTTGTACTAAACTAAACTTCCAGAAGGCCAAAATGATGGTCTTTGGTAAAACATTCTGGAAGCTTTATTGGGTAATAGAAGAGCAGGAAATTGAGCAGATGAGGGTTTTCAAATGTTTAGGTGTTGCCTTTCAAGACTCAGGGTCATAGAATGCACACATCAATGCAGTGGTGGTGCAGGTTCAAAAAGCTCTTCTGCCATCCTAAGATTCTTCTATACAAAAGGAGGAGAATGTATTCTTGCAACTCTCAAATTATTCACAGCAAAATCCCTGGCTCAACTGTTCTGTGGCTCCCACCTAAGCCTCTACCTCAATTATACACAGATGGAAACTGTACAAATCAAGTTTATAAGAGCAATGTTCCAAGCCCCAAAATGCATATCTAGTGCAATTTTGAGATTAGAAACTGATCAAATGAGGATTGAGGTTAGAGCATAGTTATTCATCTTTAATTACTGGCTTAAATGCCATTATTTTGTAGCTGGGGTGATTGTATCCCTCCTCTCTGATGAACTTGAGTCCTCTTAGACTCAAGCAATACATAAAAATTTCTGTCATGTGGCTTTTCCCTTGACTCCCTATATTTTCTTGATTTCACTCAGGCTAAGAGAGTTATTAAAGAAAAGCTTTTGGACATTGAAGCCCAGAACAAATGAGGACTCATCCTAAATTCTATCCAAACTCTGTTCAACCATGTCAAGTGGAAACCATCCAATTACATCAACTCACTCATCTCTCCAGCCCGGCAGTGGTTCTTCTTTAGAGCCAGATATAATAGTCTACTCTCAATGCTTTTATATGGGAGATTTAATAAAACCCCTATGATTAGCTGAACCTATCCTTGTGGTGATTGCTCAGTTGAATCTACGCTTCACATGCTGCTGCACTGCTCCTTTTACAGTGATATCCAAAGGCTCATCTTCCTTCTCTTGCTTTACGCACCAAATTATTCTGAGGAGCTTTGTGTCAATTTCCTATATCGGACAAGAAAAGTTTTATCACTCTTAACATAGCAAAGTTGTGTATAGCTGCTGTGAATGTGTACAAACAGTTGACTGCCACACAACTGATATCCCCATTGCCGTTTCACTTATCTCCTGTTATGTAGGGATGAAATACTGATTTCCATTACTCTCTTATTTAATAATTACTTCAATACTTTGAACTATTAGAGTTCATAATACATTCATACAAATATCCATCTTTTCCATTTTCAATGGTTATGTGGATACGTTTGTTTTTTGGTGCTATGTTTAGATTATGTGTGTTCCATTTTATCTGGTCACTAAGTGAAATAAATATTATCTGTCTTGCTTAAAAAAAATGAATACAAATAAGGTCTTGTTATTGCAACTCTCCAGAATTTACATCTGTATAAGCTTATGTTGCTTATACCCGGATTCTTGTTTTTGCTAGGAACTCACAGATGCTGTTATACCTTTTAGTTTTACTATATATAAAAGGAATTTTTTCATGGCATCACATCTATTTTGTGAAATATTTTCTTTCTCTTCTGGTATGAGTGGATGGTTATATTAGTTGAAAAGTCCAAAATGGCTAGTACATAAAATCATAATGTATTATTATTATTATTATTATTATTATTATTATTATTATTAGATTTCAAATTTAGTCACCACCCACCTCACTCAGTGAGCGACTCTGGGCAGTTTACAGTAAAAACAAAAATAAATACTGGTTAAAATACTGATTAAAATACAATAAACCAATGTTCAATTAATAACCTCTTCCAAGGTAATTGATAGTAAGTGATACTTGTTAACCTACGGGAGCGTCTTCAAGGTGCTAGTTGGTTATCCTTCCTCACGCCCCATAAATCACAATTTTAAAGGCTTTTTGCCAGAAATAAATGTAAATATATATTGCTTTTTAGCAATACTTAATCAAATTGCAGCTCTGTTTTAGACAAAATTTTAGAAAATTGTCAGCAGTAAAACATATGCTAGAGGATATTAAATAAAAGGAATGTAGAGATTAAGATCAGTTTTAAACACCCACAAGGAAGAAAATATATCATATTTTAGCAGTAAGAACTAGTAGCTGCATATTTATTTTGATCATTAGGAAGAATAAGCTTATAATATAACTGAACAACACAGCTGCTCAGAAATAGAGAAGACTCCATTCAAGATGACAAAATCAGTAAAATAATTCTAGAAAAAACAGTTGAATTGTATATTTTTTTATAGTTTTAAATTCTACTTATATTAGATCTTAGAAACTTGTTCTTATGAAATATAAAAAAAAATTAAATATTGGAGAAAACAATCAGCATGATTTGGAGGACTCTGTTTTAAAACAGTTCTTTATTAGCTAAGGTCACAATAAATTTATGTCTTTAATAGTTTATACTTGCAAATTAAATTAAGTCTCTGTTATATTAATAAGTTTATTTCATGCATACTTTTGACCTCCTAAAAGTAATCCTTTGTATTTCTTTTACAGGTTAACTAAACTCCAGATTTTGGAGCTTAGAGAAAACCAGTTAAAAATGTTGCCAAAGTAAGTATATAGTGGTATTTGAATATATTTTGGTATGAATTACTTGAAGAAATACAGAGATAATGAAAATCAGAATTTTGTAATCAGCTGTGAGTGGTCTTGATGTCATAGGACTATTATCTTGTTTGAGGTTTGTTCATGTTGGAAGTTCTCTCGATTATTCTTTTTTCATGTATCCATGCAGTTACTCATTTTGACAGTAATTCTCCATAATAGCTGAATTCACATTGTCCTTTTTTTATTCTTGCAAGCATGTTTAGGACTGTAAAGTTTATCATTTGGTTGGGACCGGAATTGCCGTTGCTAAGTTATGCAATCATAAAGCGCAATATCAAGTGACCACATCCCTTAGCAATGGTAATTCCAGCAGTCCTGGTTGCCATTGTTAAGCAAGGACTGTGCGGGTCGTTAAGTGAGGACCTCAAATGACCACGACTTCCTGCCATTGACTTTGCGTGTGAGAAGCCACAGGGAATGTCAGAAATTGTGATCATGTGACCACAGCTCTCTGGGACATCATAATCATGAGCCAGGCACTGAGCACCCAGTTTGCCATCACATGACTATGAGGATGCTGCGACGGCCAGAACTATGAGGACCCATCATAAATACCATTCATTCAATGCCGTCACAACTTTGAATGGTTGCTGAATGAATGGTCGTAACCTGAGGACTACCTCTATGCAACATTTCTGTTTGTGTTCTCTGAGTTGCTTAAATGTTATTAGTTCCCCCCTCCCCCCCTTTTTTTTTATTGGTATCTTTGAGTGAGTTTTGATTCCTGGAGCCTGCCTAGACAAGCCCCTGCAGTTTTATTGGCAACTTTTTTTAGAGGTGGCTTACCATTGCCTTCTTCTTGAGAGAAAGTGACTGCCCCAAAGTCATCCAGCTGGCTTTGTGCCTAAGACAGGACTAGAACGCATGGATGGTCTCCTGGTTTCTAGCCTGGTACTTAACCTCTGTGCCAAATTGGCTCTCATTAGTCCCTATAGAAAGGTCAATTCAAATTCTGTCCAGCTATAAAGTTTAAATTGCATAGTGAATATTTTTTTTTGTTGCTGGTGAGAAAACTGCTCTGCTATATAGCCTGAGAATCTCTAGGTAAGAAAGTAACATATGTGACTGTGACATTAAACAAGTTTTTATTATGAATAATGAATTTTAGATTTATGATATATTAAAAGAAATACTGCTATTTTATAGCAAACGTTTTTGAAAGGAAAAATGTGTTTATAATTATTTTAATACTTTCCCTCCTATAAGCAGACTTACAAAAATGCCTCTGATTTTGTTTAAATCCACTTCTATATTTTTATTTTTGTTGCTTCTGCTAAGGAAGGTGGGGTGGGGGCTGCTCTAATCAAACAACAGACAATTCCATAGTTCTGAATTCAGCAATTATTATTGCAGATATTTGCCAATATGTATTAGAAGTGCTGTTAGGGGAAGATGGTCTGCTGGTAATCCTTTTCATTATTTGTCCCCAGTAGTTATATCAAGTATTGATTGGAGAAAGTGGGAAAAATGCAAAGAGGGAATGATGGCAAATTACCAAGTCTAATCTAGCTAACTTTCCTGCTCACTTGGTGGGTTCTCTTTTCTCTTTTGGATAAACATCAGTAAGGGGAAAAAAAGTTCCCAACAAGATTTTGTTGTCCATTTTTGAATAACAACAGAAGAGCTTTGCAAAACATATATATGTAGAGCACAAGAACATTACAGGTAGTCCCCAGTTTAAGAGTGAATTCCATTCCCAAAATCTGTCCTGAAGTCGAATTTGTATGTAAGCTGGAACAGTATTATTGTATAATACTGTATAAGTAGGATTGTGTAATTAATTCGAATTATTGTGTATTTCACTTGAATTTTGCTACAGTAGGCTGTGCTCTTAACTATGGGTCGTCCTTAAACCAGGTGCTCTTAACCCAGGGACTACCTGTATTTGAAATTAGATGTGAAAACAATTAAAGACAGTTCTGGTAGCATTCTAATGAACTAGAAGATAAAATACAAATCTTAAAATATGAACCTTTCAGCTCCTTCTGTAGTTGAGAGCTTGCTATAAAGTAAGCTTTGTTGATTGTTTGTTGAACTCTTATTTGTTTTAATAGTTTCATTTTGCTATAGCTAAGCTGCAGGAGGAAAAATATTAGCTAAAGTTACTTTTAAAATAAAAACAACAAAGTTAAAAATATTAAAAATCTTTAAAACAATGTGGTGTTTATAAATAAAACATCTAAAAGTTTATTTATGCCCAAATATAAATATGCATTGTAGAATGTGCAATATTAAATGAAGAAAATTAGTATTTTTGTCTTTAAACTTCTTCACAAATGTTAGATACGGGATTTTAGTACTTCTGCTTCATTAGATTTGCAGGTATTCACAAAGTATATGAATTTATAAGTGTTAGTAAATCTATTAATGAAATAGATAAGGAATGTAAAAATTTCCATCAATAGTAAATGAGAGAGTTGAAGAGGCAATGTTTGCTGATTCCCCTGTGCTTCCAGAAAATCTGATCACCATGAATATGGTAGAAAAGAGAATGCAAAAAAGGACAGACAATTAACAACAGCAGTAAACATTGCTTTCTGTCATAGAAGGAAATCTGTTCCACTATTGGAATCGATGGTCTGTTCTGTCCTTGAAGACCCTTCTGCAAAAAGAAAAGTTTACATGGAAGCAACCACTATTTCCTATATTGGAAACATAGTGCCTGCATGGACCAGGACATTCCTCACTATAAAATTAAAATATTTATTTCAAATTCAAAATAAAATAGCCAAAGTCTCAGAAATTCCTTGCAAAAATGCTAAACTCCCAATACGTTCTTTCTTACTTTCGGGTAAATAGCTACCTAACAAAATTGAAAACTTTGTTCAATCCTGGCATAGGCCTTTCAATTTCTTTTCTGTCATTATGTAACAGACTGCCCATTTAACTTCATACATTTAGCTTTGTGCATCCATACATATAAATGGATCATGCCCATTTATTTTATTTACAGAGTCACTGGGAGGCAGCATATAAATTTAATAAATTATTATTATTATTACATATGGATTAGAAAACAGGAAACATACACTCAGATATTAGCATTTAGGGCAAAATTCATTTAAAAAACATCTGAGTATAAATGTTCCTTTTTAATTTCAGTACCTATTTACATGTAAAACTTTGACCATTTGGATAGGGGGTGTTTGTTATTCCTGAATATCCATTTATGTCATTCACATCAATTTAAGTAATTTAATCTCAATTTACATCTGCGTAATGGTGGGAATAGCAACAATATAAATGTAAGTAAATAATCAGTACTTATTTGGATGCAATGGATGCAGTCTGTTATTTTAGGGGGATATATAGATGCAAATTTTGTCCATAACATCCAAAGTCTGGTAAATGGGAGTCCATTACATTTTGCTGAATTGTAATTAATTTGGAATGAATCCAGTTGCTTCTTTTCTTTCAAACTTAATAATGAAACTGAATTACAGGTAGTCCTTGACTTACAACCATTCGTTCAGTGACTGTTCAAAGTTACAATGGCACTGAACAAAATTATGGCCGTTTCAGTGCCCCACAGTCGTGTGATCAAAATTTGGGCACTTGGAGCCCACCTGCACTTATGACCGCAGGGGTGCTTCAACCCCCCTGCCTGTCTCCCCCACATCTCTGCCCTTTTGGCTCCTGCCCGCAGCCCCAACTGCCCTAGCTGACTTTGGCGTCTTTTTGCTCCTGCTGCTGACCAAGCATGCCTGGCCTGGCCTTTTGCAAGGCAGCTGCTGGCCACACGAGGCTTTCTTCCCCAGGTTGCTCATGGTGGTTTCCTCATGAGACCTGGGGAAGATGGCCTCATGTGGCCAGCAGCTGCCTCACAAAGGGCCAGGCCAGGCATGCCTCAGCAGCAGCAGGAGCAAGAAGATGGCAAAGGTCAGCTGGAGTGGCGGAGTGCAGGGTGGCAAGGTTGTTGGAGTGCAAGGCAGTAAGGGTGGTGAAGCTGGTGCTTCCTGGGACAGCGGCTTCGCATCGTGGTGTTGGGCAGCAGCTTCAGACATGCTGCTGGGGCTTCCTGGGACAGCTGGGGCTTCCTGGGGCAGCTACTTTGCGCTGCGTGGCTGGGCTGGGGCTGAGCTTTGCTCTGCGAAGGGCTTCTTGCAGCCCCAGAGCTGCAGCGCACCAAGAAGCTCTTGAGCCACAGCATAGCAAGCAGCCCCAGAGCCGTGCGATTCTGGGGCTGCTTGCTGCCTCACAAGGCAGGATGTAGGTTGGCCAAAAGGCAGAGATGTGGGGAGAGATAGGCAAGTGGGGGAAGTTGAGGAGAAGGCAGTCCCTTACCTTGCTGAGGCTCAGGGCTGGGAGGGACCAAGCCCGGAATGGCTTGGATTGGGATGGGTACTGTGATGGAATGGACTTATGAAGACCATGCTCAGGGATATAAGCATGTTCTTAGCCCCCAACAGGAGCATGGGAACTTCAAGAAGATGAGGCTGGCACTTCCCGAAGGAATTCACAGTGTTGTGGCTGGCAGGCTTGGGGACTTGGGGTCAATCTGGGGAGATTCTGTCTTGGGGGGGGAGCTAATAAATGCAACAGAACTGTATTTGCATTGTCTCGTGGAGTTCTTTGGGCTGAACCTGACAGGTACTCACTTAACAACCCATGATTCTTGGTTAACAATGGCAATGGAGAATGCCGGGGTTGCTGTCGCTAAGTGATATGTTCATGTGACGTTGCACTTTACGAGTGTATCGCTTAGCGATGGAAATTCTAGTCCCAGTTGTGGTCATAAGTGAAGGAGTATCTGCAGTTGAGAACGTTGGTTGCAGGGGGCAGGGGAACAACTATTTCAGAAGCTTTTGCTGTGGTTAGATGATAATATAACACTGGGATTGGCCAAAATAGTTTAGCTTTCACTTCCTCATAGCACTAGACTTGGATCATGAAGCTATGAGGCTAATTTATTTGGATTTTGAGACAATTGCCCATCTTTAATATGATACTGGGATCAGATGATAAGCTTTTTAATTGACTGGAAATTGGTTAAAATATAAGGCAAGAATAAAGTATGTTGCCACTTTCCTTCACAATGGAGGTAGTAAACAGTCTGCATTAATCTAACACAGCTTTTTTTTTTTTTTTTGGTGCCTTCGAGTCATTGTTGACTTCTGGCGACTACCTGGACCACTGTTTTACAATTTGAAAAACACTGCATAAAATCTATAACTCATTTCACAATAGGATAGAATGAATGTTAGAACATGTAGAGTGGGATAGCTTATACAGTGTTTTGCAGTTAAACTGGTTCACACTTTTATTTGAATATTAGTAGTAAGAGTAATATGACTGTATACTATTTATGAACTCTGATCCTATTAGGTATGTTTTCTAGATCTGTTAAATACGTAATGCTTATTTGAAAATGCATCAGAATGAGTAGATGAAAATAAGATATAACTGGTATTTTCCCTAAATCTAACTCCTTTTAATTCTTTCGTTTCTGTAGAACCATGAACAGACTGACTCAGTTGGAGAGGCTAGATCTGGGAAGTAATGAATTCACAGAAGTGGTAAGTTGCGAATAGCCTAAAACTTATTTTGATATAGGTATATGTTGCTAAATCACATTTAATAATAAAAGCAAGGGCTAGCTTGGAAATGACCTATAAAAGCAAGGGCTAGCTTGGAAATGACCTATAAAAGCAAGGGCTAGCTTGGAAATGACCTGTGGGGCACTGACAGGAAATAATACTTGCAAAACCAGAGCAAACTGTTAAATAAACAAACTTGTTAATGGGAACAGACGTGACAGGGACAAAGGGACCGGGAAAGTATGGTGAAATTAGCCTGGGGACGTTATGACAATCCAAGAGTCATGATTGTGGTTTGCGGTTTTAAAGGATAAAAAGGATTGCAATTTGGGGGTTTGGACCCACACAGGTTAGGCTGTCCTAGTGACGGCCTGCTCCTGTCGGTCCGCATTGCAGTGTGTATCTAAGTAAGTACCTTGTATA